CTGGAGCATTCAGTGCAAACAACCGAGTCTTCAGTGCTGCGGAACTGGAAGCACATTCACGAGGGCATTTCTAAAGATCTACTCTGTGCGAACTGCCATGGGTCTCCTAGGAGCCCTAAAGCTTCAATTAGACCTAGCGGGTCCCCTAACCAAATCCCATAATACCATACATCTAAAGCCCCAGGTTAGCCATGAAAGTTTCAGTTACACTCTGAATGTAAGAGACTCCAAACTGCCATCTTGACAGCTATTTGATTTATTGTTAAATTCCTGGGACCGTATCAATAGTGGTTCTGAACACTGTACTCACATGAACTCACTTATTCCTTATGAATATTATAGACCCTGTTTATGTGTGTGTGTGTGTGTGTTAGTAGCTCAGTCGTGTCCGACTCTTTGTGACCCCATGGACTGTAGCCCACCAGCCTCTTCTGTCTGTGGAATTCTCCAGGCAGGAATGGGGTGCCATTTCCTCCAGGGGATCTTCCCAAGCCAGGGGTCAAACCCACATCTCTTGCATTGCAGGTGGATTCTTTACCATCTGAACCACCAGGGAAGTATATATAAATATAATTAATAGTAACAATATATAATATTAATAGTAACAATCATAGCATATCATGTTTCTTGAGAACTTAATGTAGGCCCAGCATGGTTCTAAACACATTAGATGAAATAATTCCTAATTCCACATGCACAACACTGTGAGGGGGTGTTACTATCTCTGTTTTACAGGTAAAGAAACAAATCACAGAAAGATTAAGTTACTCAAGGTCATACAGCTTATAGGAGGCCTGGGTTGTGAGTCAAAGTCTACCAGTGTGGCTTTAGCATGCTAGTAACCACCCAGGCCTTCTGCATGCATGCATGCTTAGTTGCTTCAGTTGTGTCCAACTCTTTGCGACCCTATGGACTGTAGCCCGCCAGGCTCCTCTGTCCATGGGATTCTCCAGGAAAGAATACTGGAGTGGGTTTTCATGCCCTCCTCCAGGGGATCTTCCCCACCCAGGGATCGAATCTGCATCTCCTGCATTGCAGGCAGATTCTTTACCACTAGTGCCACCTGGGAAGCACCAGGCCTTCTAGAGCCTCTAGTAGCTCAGAACACCTCTAGATAAGAGTTCTCTGTCCATTTAGCACTTCAGATTGGTAGCATCACTGATTTTGATCTGCAGTTCAGATATTTAAAACTGCTCTGGGTCTTTGTGGGAAAAAACCTAGGAGTTGCTGCCTGAATGAGAAGTCAGGATTCAGAAAACATTTACACATGTTCTCCTGGGTAAGAGAGTCAGGATGGAGGCTGGGGCTGGTTATAGGAATCAGAGTCCAGTGATCTGCCTCCCCAACCCCTGCCCTCATTCCACAAGATGGAGTGCCATGTTTCTTAAGGTGTGGCTCAAGGAACGCTTTTTAAACATGCAGATTCCAGGGATGAACCCCAAGCCCAGATACTCTGTATCTCTGGAGATTATAGCTGGAATATGCATTTGAGCCAACTCCTGGACTGAAGTAGTTCCACAACCAGTCTCACTTAAGTCTCTAAGACTATGGAAGCCTGTCTTCTAATTCTATAGGTACCCAAAGTGTGCCTAGGGGGGCTTCATCCGCAGCCCCCTTGCCAAGTAGAATCAGGGAGGGCTCGAATGCAGAGAGCACGCTGAGGGCATGCCTGCACAGAAAGCAGAGCTCTTTTTTGCCACCACACCCCTTGAAAGAGTGAATCCTCTGGAGAGGGTGGGGAGGGGGAAGAGAGGAAGTGAAGGAAATCCTCTTGAAGCTGAAGCACCCTGGGGCCCAGACAAGGGGATGTCCTGAAGAGGGAGGGAGGATGGGAGACAGGGTGTCGGGGGTGCACGTTGGTGGGTCAGCAGCCACAGGATCAGAGAGCCACAGCGGAAGTGGCCATGGCTAGGTATTGATGCTGCAGTTGCAGTCAGCTTTACAGGAACCAGAGATTCGAAATTTTAGGTGGGACTCCTTTCCTTTTGTTGAGTGCTTGGAGTGGCTCGAATGGTAAAGAATCTTCCTGCAGTGCAAGAAACCTGGATTCGATCCCTGAGTCGGCAAGATCCCCTGGAGAAGGGAATGGCAACCCACTCCAATATTCTTGCCTGGAGAATCCCCATAGACAGAAGAGCCTGATGGGCTACAGTCCATGGGGTTGCTAAGAGTTGGACACGACTGAGACTCTGTACTCTCTAGGGAGCTTCACCCTTCTGGACCCCACCTTCCCAGAAATAACTCCATCTCACCACTAGGAAAGGAGTAGCAAAACTCAGTCTGTGATCGAGGAAAGCCAAGGAAATGATTGCATGGATCCCTAATGCTGAATCTGTCTAGTTATCTACCTGGGGGATGGGGTGGATATAAAATCAGTGAGAGGAAAGGCTTGGGAATGCTCTCATGTGGTGGGACTGGGAAGCAAAGGAGAAGAGGGCTACTTTAAGGAAATGGTAACCCTAATGGTGGTAGATCTGCCCGGGACATGACTACCTGCTGCTCTAACCCATTCTCAGATGATGGTTCATACAACAGAGAGCTGGAAATCTTAATCGTGGCTGATTTTTGTGAAATATTTACTTTGTACCTGGCACTATACTGGGCCTTACACGCATCACCTCATTTCACAACACTCTGATAGATCCTACTAATATTGTGCCCATTTTACAAACGAGGCTGAGAGAGGTTATATGACTTACCCAAGGCCATGCAGCTAGGGAGTGGCAGAGCCAGGATTTCAGCACAGGTAGTCTTACTCCCAAACCCTGTTTATTAGGTGGTAGGAAGGGTGTAGGGATATGGGGATGCCTTCCCCTGGGCCTGTGGTTCTACATGAGCAGCCCTTCTTTGCATCTGACAGCTTCTGGTGAACAAGGTGAGTGATTGTATTTATCATGAATTCCCTTGGGTATGAGTTCCCAATTGAAGGAACCGGGGGGGGGGGGGGGGGGGGGCAGGGCAGAGGCTCCAAGGCTAAGTCCCTATGAGATCCGCTCCTTTGATCCACCCTAGCGGGGCTGAGGGGTCCCAGAGTATTTGATCTGTTTGATTCTTTGTACCGAGGCCTCTTCACATTTTTGAGAGTCCCTAGTTCAGTGGCTCAGACAACTGAGCCCGGGGGTGCCCATGCAGGGAACCCTTCTATCTCCTATCCCACTCTAGCAGATGAGCTCCTTCCTCTTCCCTGTCCCCAGGTTCACTAAATGCATCTTTGTCCTGTTACCCAAATTCTGCGTCTTGCCTTAGTAAGTTGTCTTGTAATTCACTTTCACGAGAACTTTCCCTTTTTGCCACTGGACTTTCTTGGTCCTTTTGGCCTTGACCTAGGTCCTGCTTCCAGACTCCTGCTCTGAGGTTTATCTCTGTACCTAAAATAATCTCTTGTTCCTGCTCTCTCTTCTCCCTGCTATCAGAGTTGCCCTCAGGATGGGATGCATCCAGGTGAGGCTTAATAGATTGACCGGCATTTTAACTGGTGTCAAAGCCCCATGTCAAAGGGATTATGGACTTAAGAATTTTCAAGCCCTTGGGAGGGGATAGGGAGAGATTTGGAAGGGCAAGGGAATGTTCTTAATACTCCTGGAATGCCATGAAGTAGACATCAAATTCAGGCTACCACCAAGCCAGAAGTTGGCTTATTTTTTTAGAATCCATCACATTGAATGAACTCCCTCCTCTCACTCACCACTCAAGGTTTTGACTAAAAAGTCTTCCAGATAATGAACTTCTATGATGCAAGCATCATTTTCTCAGAGCTCTGTTGGAAGGACTGCGAAGCTCCATGAGTTACCAAAGACCACACAAACAGGCAGTAGTAGTCAAAGCAAAGCCAAATTCCTCCCGAGACTAGTTTCTTTCTATAACCTAAGAATGAATCCAATCTCCACCCGAGACAGGGTGATTTTCCTCTTTTCATTTATCCAGCACTGACATGAGCCCTCTTCTCCTCTAATCTTCCTCAGACTCTTAGCAGAATACAAATAAGCTGCTGATTTTGCCAGTCTGAGAAATTGAAAGTAGTCAGTTTTGCTTTTTGTCTGCCAAAAGACAGTGTTCCTTCTGTGCTGCTATATGGGGGAAAAAGGGCAAGACCTTCTGACCTTGTTATGTTCCTATTCATGACCCATCAAGTCATTATGAAAGCCTAGAGGGACACTGTTTTTAGTATGGATCCTGGTAAGTTTATCCAGATAATTTCCTATCAAAAGCATCCCTCACATGCGCCTCCAAACATGTCCTGTCCCCTAAGAATGATTTGGTCTTGGTGTCGGGGCAGGTAACAGGGCTGGGCTCTGTCATCCAGGACTCTTTGGAGCCCTCGTTTGAGCTGCTTCAGGGACTGATAAATTGGCCAGAGACTATGTCCTGTGTCTCAGGAAAGCAGTAAATAAAAGCTCCTCCTTTCCTGGGGAGCCCATGTCTATTTTGGCCTCTCTTTCCATCAAACTGGGAAGATGTTGAAAAGGGCCATCTTGCTTCAGAGCAGGGAGCATGCAGTGTGGTGGCTGCGTTTCTAACTGGGCTGACCATCAACCCGAGCCTCACTGCCCTTTTCAACACGGAGGAATTGCTAAATTCTATTTCAATTCTCCTGCTTACATCTTTCCCTGTTTCAGCAATTTGCTTTGTAAAAGATGGAGAAGCTAGCAGTGACTGTACTCCTAACAGTAGCTGAGGTCACATTTAAGAAATTCAAATGCTCAGGGTGTGCTTCTCGCATTAAGTCCAACTCAAGCCATTGGATGTGCACAGCACTGCTCAACAGAAGACCCCCGGAGGCTGTGTGGCATTTCTGGTATGCTAGGGGTTTGGGAAAGAACGAAAAGGCATTTTCATTTTCCGAACTCAGAGGCACTTCGGGGGTGGGGGAGGGTGTCAGGAATTCTTCCAAAGTCATGGGCCTGCCCACACCTGACTCAGATATTGATGACCTTCCCCAGGCCCTTCCCTCCCCACCCCAAAAAAAGACAGTATGAGTGACAACGAGCCCCGGTACTTACAGGTGCAGAGGATTTTCGGACAGGAAAATGGAGAAGGCAGGTTCCTGAATGCCTGCTGAGTCAGTTGCATCAGCTTAGGAAGTGATGATTGTAAAAATAAGATATTTGGAAAATCTTGTCGCCCTCTCCCCTTGTTTTTTCAGTCCATATCCAAACTCAGACCACCCCCTCTACCTCCCCAGGACATCTGTCTTTCCTGGCTGCCTGGCGCCTCCATGCCCCTTCTTGTGAGGGTGCTGGCAGGCACACTGCCTCTTGGAGCCTGTGGCCCAGCAAGGTAGTCAGGCTCCTGGGATTATGCTGGCAAGAATGACTGTCCTCCAAACGATCAGCCCAGAGAAAGAGAGAGAGCAAGCAAACCCAAAAACAGGTCCAGGATGGAGAGCTCCTAGTGCTGAGCATGTTTCTGGCGTATTCCGAAAGTGGCATCCACAGCAGAGAAAGTGTCCCAAAATAGCTCAGGCTGCCAATGCCTCGCTGAAACCTGAGAAAGAATTGCTGAATTCAAAGATCTGGGTCGCTGTGGGTGTGTGATCAAAGTGCGGATTTGTTGGTAGGAGGAACTCGAGCCATGAGCTTAGGAGAAACACGAGGTCACCTGGGGCATGGCCTGCCTTCTCTCTTCCAACTTGGTTAAGTGGCTGGTGGTGTCAGAAAGCTCCCCTGTGCAGAGTCGGGGGCTGGCAGGAGTTCCTGGGGACGCTGTTCTCATTCCCAGGTCTCTGATGCACCGACAGTATGAAATAGCAGTGCTCTATTTTCTGCATTTCCAACATGGGAACTGATACTGTTCAAAGGTTTCTTTAAAATGCTGCTCCATAACTGATGAAATTCCCCTTCCAGTAGATTTTTCATTTCTTTTGACCTTTGGCAAAATAAATGTCAGCTCCTAAAAATCAACAGAGAAGGGCAAACAGTAGGGTCTCTGTGATTTTCTTGGGATTTGAGAAATCTCTGGATGGTGTGTATACAATGCTGCCTATGGTACTGGGAAGGCTGAGGTCCACTCAGACACATGGTCTCATTTTGATATTTGCAAGATCTTGGGACATTCTCCTTTCATCAGGTGTGTTGAAATTTTAGGATTGTCTGCAGAGAGTATGGGTCAGTATGTGAAAAGTATAGCACACATCTCCCTTGGATCAGCCATTCTTCTTAAGAAGAAAAAAGCAGAGCATTTGGTTTCTGACTCTAGATCTGCCTGTCTTTTGCTGAGTGATCTGGGACAAGTCACTTCTCTTCGCTGGATCTCAGGGTAAAACCAAGACAGTAATCCCCATTTTAATCCTAACCCAATGGTGTCTGACTCTGCAACTCTCTGGACTGTAGCCCACCAGGCTCCTCCATCCATGAAATTTTCCAGGCAAGAATACTGGAGTGGGTTGCCATGACCTCATCCATGGGATCTTCCCAACCCAGGAATCAAACCCATGTCTCTTGTGTCTCTTCCAATGGCAGGTGGGTGCTTTACCACTAGCACCACCAGGGAAACCCCAGTGGTATCAGTAGTGAAGATTAACGCCAAGGGTCACAAGAATGCTACTAGGGGGAGGGCTTGTCACTCAGTATTTGACAGCAGGCTTCAGTTCCTTAGGGGACCCTGACTGGTAACCTGTATCAACACGCCTACAGTGAGTCCAGTGCATACCACAGCACTAGGGGCTTCATGCACAGGGGTCAGTGTTATGTCCAGTTCCAAGCTGTAGGACTTTCGATTAGTTGCTTAGTGCCCAGGAGTTCAGTTTTCCCATCTGTCAAGTGGGTATACAAATTAATAATAATACAGGTCTACAATCCTTTATCTGAAACCATTGAGACTACATATGTTCTGGATTTCATGAGTTTTTTTTTTTAGATTTTAGTAAAGCAATATGGTACATATAACATATATAACACCCCTTGTGGAATCTGGGGCAAGTATTCTGTCATCAATCACACTAATATTTCTCAATGGGATAAATGAATAGCCTGGGCTTCCCTGGTGGCTCAGACAGTAAAAAATCTGCCTGAAATGCAGGAGACTGAGGTTCAATACCTGGGTTGGGAAGATCCCCTGGAGAAGGGAATGGCAACCCACTCCAGTATTCTTGCCTGGAGAATTCCATGGACAGAGGAACCTGGTGGACTACAGTCTATGGGGTTGCAAAAATTCGAACATGATTGACTGAGCAAATAGCACACAAAACAATTCAGGCCCAATTTGGCTACCATATGAGCTTGCCACAAAATTTCAGTTTTCAGAATCCTTTGGATGTCAAAAAGCCAGGTAAGAAATTGTGGACAATGAAAGAAGCTAATGTTTCTTTGGGCTTCTCTGGTGGCTCAGCAGTAAAGAATCCACCTGTCAGTGCAGGAGACCTGGGTTCAATCCCTGGGTCAGGAAGATCTCCTTGAGAAGGAAATGGCAGCCCACTCCAGTGTTCTTGCCTGGGAAATCCCATGGACAGAGGAGCCTGGCAGGCTACAGTCCATGGGGTTGCAAAGAGTTGGCACGACTTAGCTACTAAACAATGTTTCTTTAGTGTGTGCCATGTGCAAGGTATGGTTCTAAGTAGTTTGTACACATTAACTGATTTAGTTGGGCCAATAACCCTATGAGGTGGGCATTACTATTATCACTATCATGCCCATTTTACAGATGAAGAAACTGAGGCTCAGAGAGGTTAAATCACCTGAGCAGAGTCCCAAAACCAGTGAGGGGCAAAACTGGGATTCTAACCCAGACAGTTCAGCCTAAGAATCTGTGCTCTTAACCATCTTCTGTACAAACTCGATGGGGTTAAAATGAGGCTTCAAAGGCCCACAGGGGCCAAGCAAGTCACTGTGGAAAAAGTCAGTGGCTGGTGGGTACTGAGGCAAAATGGTGAGCCAGTGCTCCATCTACAAGGAGCAGCTTACCCAGCTCCACCTGACTGTTCCCATCTCAGAACCAGGATCTGAGTCTTTCTGTTTCTCCCACATTATATAGGTGAAATCTCCTGACTTTCAAATGTTAGCAGTACTTTTAAAAAATGGCAAAAACATTGTAGGGGTCAAATAAAATCCATCTACAGTCTGAATCCAGCCTGTGGCTGCTAGTTTACAGACTCTGTGATGAAGGAATAGATGTGAAAGAGCTTTGAAAACTGAAGAACGTGTTCTAGACACAGACAGTCTCATTCTTAGGGTTATTTTTTTTTTCCTTCACCGTGTCTAGTTTTTTGAAAACTGGTATTCCTGGCCTAATGGAGATGAAAAGTTGGAATTAAATAGAGACTTCAGTGAACTTGAATGCTTCATTCCTTTGGCAGGCTGGATAAATGAGAAGCCTAGGTGTACTGGATGGGCTAAGCCTCAGAATTCCTGCCACACCCACAGGCCCCTTCTAAAGAGTTTCCATCTGCAGACCCTAGCCGAAGGAAGGAGCAGTTTCTTATGAATAGGTGACTATGTTTGGTACCCACGTGACCCTGCTTCCTCCTGCCAATAGCTGACTGAGCCAGGAGAGGGCATCTGATCCAAGAGCAGTCACTCTATAGGCTGGCAAGTTGCCTAGGAGGGAACGTGGGATGAAAACTTTGCCCAACAAGCACAGTGGTGACTAAATTTGGACCAATGAGAGTCTCTCGCTTGGGGAGCTTGAATACCAGACCTAGAAAGGGTGAGCAGTAGGCAACGGGCAGAATGCAGGCAGCAGGGCTCACAAATAAGCAGGCCAAGGAGAGATGACTGAGCTTCAGCTAGGTGCCAGACACTTGACACACATTTTGTGTTTAAAACATTCACAGATCCTGTGAGGTAGGTACCATTATTATCCCTGTTTTACAGACAAAATAACTGAGGCCAGTGCTGGGAGTTGGAATCCTGGTTTATGTGATATTAAATTCAGAATGGAGGGACACATGTATACCTGTGGCTGATTCATATTGATGTATGGCAGAAACCATCACAATATTGTGAAGCAGTTATCCTCCAATTAAAATAAATAAATTAATTAAAAATAATATTCAGGGTGTCCAGACCCCTAAACCAGCTGTTCTTAAACTCTAGAGGGTTTCAGAATCACTTGTGTCAAAATGCAGATTCCTTGGCCTCACTTTGGACCTACTGAGTCTGACTCTCTAAATGTGGAGCCCCACCTCCCAACTCTGCATCTGCATTTTAACAGTCCTCACAGAGGAATGACTGATGCAAAGGGCTTCCCAACCACATTTAGAGAAATGCAGTTTGAGGGAGTATGGCAGGTACTGTAAACTGCTCTGCCTTCACCTTCAGAAATAAGGTCAAGGTCAACAGATGAGGTCAAAGTCCAATTGACACTCTTTTGGAAATAGGGCCGATTCTACAAATAAGAGGACATCAGTCTGTCCTCTTTTCTAATTCCAGAAGTATCCACTGACACCAGTTACCTGAGGAAAGATGGCAGGCCTGAGATGAAGGCTCAGCACTTTGTAGAGAAAAACCTACCTGTTTTTCAGCAAGCAGAGCTCATAGCAGCCATACCGTCACTAAGCATTTTCCCCGAAGAGCACACACTGCAGAGACTTCCTGTATTGGCAGCAAAGAACAGGAGAGAAAATGCCCAAAGGCAGAGACATAGATTATAAACCATGGGATTTAAAAATGTAAATCTACTTCCTAGGCCAAACATAGAGATTCTCCTCAGCACTAGAATAGTTGTGTAAAAGATCCATCTGTGCTCTTCTTCACACCATTGATGAAAGGGTCGAACAGGATGGGACCAAGGCTTCTAGATTGTTGTAGAACCCCAGCCTGGCTATAGTATTGAGCCAATTGAGCATTCATTTGCCTTTAGGAACTCTCCCTGGAGAGACAAGTAATAATCTGAAGGCTGCTTGGAGTGTCTCAAGTCAGAAACTGGTTTGTGAGCCAAATGCCTAATGGCATCAGGCAAATATTCCTACAAGACAGTCGGGTGATCCAAGGGATGGCAAAAGTCAAATGCACTGGCCAAATCCTGCCCAGCAGGGCTTGAATTTGCACTTGGCAAGTTCTGTTTCTCTCATGTTCCTTTATGTGGACACTTTATTTATGTATGTTAATATCCTCACTTAGGCTAAGGTCAAACTCTGTTCTTCCCAGTTCTGGCCAGAAAGATTTCCTGTCTTACAGGTATCTGATCTTATCTTTGTTGATATTTTCACTGTGAGGGATTCCCTAAAGAAGGTCCTTGGATAAGTGCCCATCCTCCAGGAAAATTATTTCAGTCCTCGGGTACAAGGAGAAAGCCTGAGAACGATGTAGCCAGTGTTTTGTAAAGCAAAACCTATTTCATTGAAAGAGCTGTCCTTTATCCTGAGATTGTTTGCTTCTCTTTTTGTGTTTAAAGAAAATCCTTTCTAGGAAATGATAGTTTGGGGTTGTTTTGTCTTGCTTGTTCCTTTACTTGGAAAAATAAAAACCTGGCAACCTACTGTCAGTCTTCCCAGGTTTTTGGTTTGTGATAGC